GCTCCCGGGCCAGGGTTCGGCCCTCTGACTCACGCTTATGACAGCACAGGGATGGGTCTCCCTGCCCACAGCTTGGCCCCTTTCTTTCCTCCCTCCCTTCCTTCCACCACTCCCTCCATCCTTCCTTTTCTCCCTCTTTCTTTCAAGATTTATTTGTTTATTTGAAAGGCAGAGCAACAGAGACTGCCCTCTCTTTTACTAAACACTGTTCAAAAACTGGAGAGATCTTTGTCACGTATGAATGTGAGTGACCCCCATGCCCTTGGCCAGGCCCACAGAACAGCCTCCTTCATCTGTGGGATGTCCTGGGACTCCCCCGTAGGCCCCTCGAGTCACCTCCAGTACACACCTCCAGCTATCTGTGTCACTCAGGGCTCCCCAAATACCTCCCACCTCTACCAAAACTCCCTGCCTTCCTCTTAAGAGGGGTGGGGAACATCTGGCCACAGGCCATACAAGGCCTAAAGAATCATTTGGTCTGGCTCTGCCAAGGCAACCGCAGGCGGGACTTGAAATTCAATAAATCTACAGCAGGCTAATTGTTAAGTTGATAATTTTGTAAGACCCGCAAATGATATTATAAATATTCCAATGGCCCTTGACAGAAAAATACCTACCCCTGGTATGCTCAGTTCTAAGGTGCTTCCTCCAGGAAGCTTTCCTCAATTTCCTGCTCTCAAAATTCATTATTCCTTTCCCTGGGCTACCTTTGCACAACCCTGCTTAATTTCTACTGCAGCGCCCCCTAGCTGCGGATGATCTACAGGAAAAATATCCTCAGCAAGGAATCTGTTTTATTCAATCCTTGGAGCATGGGTCTAGCATCAACAGAAGGTCCAGAACACACTAGGCTCCCCATGAAATGTCACTGGACTGAATGAAGGGACAGTGGACACTTTCTGAGCTTTTTTTTTTTTTTTGACAGGCAGAGTGGACAGTGAGAGAGAGAGACAGCGAGAAAGGTCTTCCTTTGCCATTGGTTCACCCTCCAATGGCCGCCGCGGCCAGCGCGCTGCGGCCGGCGCACTGCGCTGATCTGATGGCAGGAGCCAGGAGCCAGGTGCTTCTCCTGGTCTCCCATGGGGTGCAGGGCCCAAGCACCTGGGCCATCCTCCACTGCACTCCCGGGCCACAGCAGAGAGCTAGCCTGGAAGAGGGGCAACCGGGACAGAATCCGGCGCCCCAACCGGGACTAGAACCCGGTGTGCTGGCGCCGCTAGGCAGAGGATTAGCCTAGTGAGCCGCGGCGCCGGCCCACTTTCTGAGCTTTTAAAGTTTAAATCCATGAGGAAATCTTACATTTTTGACTAGAATAATGCTTTCTGTACTACAATGATTAAGGTCCACACATTCTGGGGTTCTCTGGCCCATAGAGACAGAAGCACTGCCATCAGCGGTGCAATTTATTCTACCAGATTCTCTAAGATTTTGCTGCCAGAAGGATGCACCTGTGACTAGGGCATGGGAAGAAGCACGGTCTCCCTGGGCCTGCCATCCCCACAGGGACACAGTACAGAAGGCTACGGAACTGAAAACAGGAGCTCCAAGTGGGACCCACAAGCTGTCTCGCAAAGGCTGGGAGGGACGGTCTGAGAGGGCCCAGTGTGACAGCCTCCTTCTCCTTCCACCTAACAGCGGCATGGTTTTTCCAATATTATCCACTGAGTACCAAGTAGGCCGATGCGAAGGATGCAAGACAGTAAGCTTCAACAAGAAAAGTATTAAACTCTTAAATATTGAAGGTTTGGGTAAGATTTCAATCTGAAATAAGAATTTTGCTGCTTAAAAAAAAAAAGGCTGGAAAATCACTAGCTTAAGAAATTCGGCCACGCCTTCCCCCAGGAAGTGAGGAGGGATGTAGAAGCAACAGAGCTCACAAGGAAGCCACGCCTGGCAGGAGCCCAGTGTGGGCACTTCGTCAAACTCCACGAAGGCAGGAGTTGCGAGGCCAGCATCAGCCTTCACAGGAGGAGCACAGAGTCCTTGGTGCATGCCCTCGGCTTCAGAGTCTGTGCAGAACCGGTGACCCGTGTCGCAGGGGCAGAGCCAGCAAATACCCAGAATTCTCCATCCACAGCCACTGCTCCATCTTTTCAGGTAAGCCTGGCTATTTCCTGCCACCTCCACCACCCACCCAGGAGCTATCGCTGTTGCATTTCAAGATGACTTCAACTTGCTGGAGGGAGTTGATCTCAGCAGTTACCGTGGGAGGCCATGAAGGTTGTGGCTATCAGCTGACCCCACACGCAGCTCAGTGAGCACGCTCAGCCCTGCCTCCTTCCCACTGTGCCATTCACTGGACTCCAGGTCTGAGTGAGAGCATGTGGAGGGAACAGTGACAGGCACCTCTCCTCCTGTAGCCTGGGAGTGGCTGATTGGGAAGCTTGAGGACTGTGTCCTCAGGACGCAGCCTCCAAGGGAGGCGTAAAGGCAGCGTCTCTGGCAAGCAGGGGCAGCCAGCCTCATTCTCCCTGACTGTCCTGGTGCCCTCCGAGAGCTGACACAGCGGCTCTGCAGCCAGGCCCATGTCACCCCCTATGCCAATCCCAAATGAACTCCACATTGCGCCCAAGCACTCAGTGGTACATGTGGACGCTAGGTGAAAGGTTGGCAGCAAGGGCCGTGTGCCCAATTCCAAGGAACACGACAGGCAACAGGCTAGGGACACGTCTTGCACGGCACGTGACTAAGCAGCCTTCTGTTCAAAAATACTGTCCCTGTCTCCTGCATGACATCCTGTCTGAAAGGCAGCAGTTGAGGGCTCAGAAAGATGTGTGCCAGTCCTGGCTTCGTCCTTTCCCAGGCCTGGCGACTTCTGTCCGGTCAATTATACACTCTGTGAGCCCCAGCTTCCTCCATGGTGTAGCTCAAAACCAGAATAATGTAACTCACTTCATAATGAGTTTCAAGGAAAGAACGTGTGAGAAGCTGTGCATTCCAATTACTCTGCCTTGCAATTCGCGAGCTCAGGACCTCCTCCAGGAAGTGTGTCCCTGGGATTCCCGGCACGTTCTGCTGAGGCTCTGCTAACACTTCCCCATTTAGAGCACCAGCTCTGTGAAAGGGGGCTGGCGGTTACTGCCCACTACCATGAGCGCCGTGCCCGCAGCACTCAACTGGTGGCAGCTGATGGTAAACAAAGGACTCCGTTTCTCCAAGAACACTGCGGAAGGGGCAAAGGCGAGGAGCGACGGGAACACGGAGGTGGTTCTTGGAGCTTAAACAGGACAGCCAGTTGCTATCCGAATGCCTCTGCATCCACCTTCTCCTCATGCCTGGCCCATATGAGGGTAGGCCAATGCTGAAAGTGGGGGGAAAGTCTTCTTTTTTGACTTTTTTTTTTAAAGAACAGACACAAACACAACTCTGTGTTTGCACACATGTATATACATATATACTTTAAAGCAGTGGCAAAGTGTTCCAGTGGGAAGAAGTCTTAAAATCAGCAAGTGAGAAAAAGACCCAACAAGGTCCCTTCTGAACAGCTTCACTCATCACTTACAGGGTTTTCAGCCTAGGCCTACGTGCCCAGGTGAGTCGAGAGGAACCACACAGTGCAGAAATAGGGTAACTGATAACATCACAGATGGAAACACAAAATTGGTATCTATAAACTTCTTTGTACACATTAATTCATTAGCTCAGAGAAACTAGAAACAGAGTCAGAACTTGAGCAAACACTGGGGTAGTTACATCCACATAGAAGAGTACTGCACCTGTGGTTAAAAAGCAGCATCTATGAAGTGATCTTAGTCTTCCACTGCTCAGCCAGCGCAGCTACAAGCCAGCCACCATCAGCCAGACGTGCGAGCCAGCGAGCCAGCATGCTACCCACTGCAGAGGGCACACCACGTGCTCCTTCCTAGTCACTGGTCCTATTCCACAGCCTGCCTTGTTTGCATCAAAAAAGCTCAAGGACTTTGGGAAGGGTCCCAGTGTTCTCCAGGGCAGTGAGATGACACTGATGTTGGTTTAGAACAAAAACTCCAATTTAATTAATGTATGGACAGAACAAAACAAAGGCACATGGGAAAGGCGATAATGTGGTCTACAAATTCATTTTTATTATAAACTAAGGTTCCTCCACTAAACTATATAGTCACTTAGCGTTTCTCAAACAGGGCATTACTGGAAAACCAAAGTCATGTATGTTTTACTGCCAATTTTAGAAAGAGAAAAAGTAGGCAGACCTGGTATTTTTTAAATGATCAATGCCTTCATTTTCACTAAGAAATATGCTTTAAGAGAGTGGAAAATGGAGGCTCCTGTAAAAAAAAAATCTGAAGTAAATTCAAGTATAAGCAGAATTGCAAATATGGATTTGATCAAGAGCCTTCCATCTCTAAGATCCATCTTTTTCATTTTTTAAAGGCCACGCCTCAAATCTTCCCTTTAATAAAAGAGCCATTCACTTAATAAGCAGTATTAAGCAATGTGGAAGAAATCTGGCCAAAAATCCTCTCTGTGTTGGAAGAGACATACATGAAAAAGATGCATATTTTTTCTAAGTGTTCTTGAAAATACATCAAAAGCACAAATTAAAATAATTTCTAAATATTTTTGAAAGTAATGTCATGATTACTTTGAACATGATTCATTTTTTATAATTCCTACATCAACTTTGCGTCTCTGGATTTTTATATATTTATCTTTTAATTGTAAAGCTTTCTGAGCCCCAGGGCTGGTTGGTGGACATTCGAATGTTAAAAAGAAAAAAATCATGTTTCTGTGCTGAAAAGTTATCAAGACCAGCTCTCTGCTGCATTTGCGTTGTTATTAGAAACACACACACGCTCACACACACACACAGGCACACACACTGAGTTTAATGTGAGGCTAGTACAGAAACAGAGAGATTAGACACAAAGAAATGTAAACAGCTCTCACATGCGAGGAAACTAGGTTACCAGGATCCCAGCACCAGGCATTCACCAGTCACCATGGAAAACAGGAAGTGAGGTGCATGGCAACCACAAGCCAAAAAGCAGGAAAGCGCATACCTTTAGCTTGGAATGAAAATCACGAGATTTCCTTCGGGCAAGAACCTGAATGTGACTAGACACCTGCAGGGTAGGGGAAGGGAGGAAAACAAAGGAAAAGCCTGTAACCATGGAGATGAAAAGCCCCCTGCAACTGGGCAAGCCAGACGTACCTTAATGGCGGCTTGAATTTCTCGAACTTTCTTTCTTGCTAAGACCTGTATATGACTAGACACCTACATTGTTCGGGTTTATGAGGGGAAACAGAACAAAACAAAACAAAACAAAAAAAGGAAATCAAATATAAAATCTCTATTCCTGGGGAGGGTTTGGGGTGGGGAGGGGGGGTTATTTGCATCTCAACAAAAGCTCTGCTGTTAGGAATACACAGTCCCAGCCAGACACCAAGCCCCCAGCGCTGCTCTAAGCTTTGCAGACTGGGTCATCACTGCAGTGACTCCATTCAGGAAGGAAGTTTGGGTCCTAAGTTTTCCCACCGGGGAGAAATCACGGGCAGTGGGGAAAACGCATCCTGGGAGTGGTGAGAAGGGGAGAGGAGGGCTGTGTTCTTCCTAAGATTCATAAGGTGGGGGTAGAGGTAAAGGAAAATATTTACAGCTTCTCAGTATCAGGAGGGAAAATCCCTTTTTCTCAATTTAGAGGAGACTTCTCCATAAATTAACACATTCTGTAGAATCAAAAAGCTGAGCTGCGGGCTGTATTCTGATCTCATTAAGAGTTCTGGATTCTGTAGCAAATGTTAAAATAATACTGACATGTAAATTAGATCTGAGAGAGAAATGGAAAGACCCAGTTAGCATTTTTTTTTTTTTTTCCCCTTATAAATATCTTTAATCCTTCTACTCTTTTGGGTATTGACTGGGCGCCAAGTGGATTTGCATATTATTACAAAGCGAAATGTGTGAATACAGCCAGCCAGCCATCCTGTTAAAAATCTGGGTTGAAAACCACATGGATTTGCTGAACAACAAATTCACATTGGAGAGGTATCACCAACTGCTGCCTAAAAACATCCCCAGGATGCGGGGGTGTGGAAAAGTGGCCAAGCCTGGCTTCTGAAAAGCACCGATTCCACACTGGCAAACCAATCTGCATCTCTTTCAGCGAGACCTGGTTAAATTTAGGAGGTCCCCAGTGAAGGGGTCCCAGCACAAATGGCCAGAGCTCCGAGACTGGCTTCTGGTCCAGGTCTGCAGGGGGGACCAGATCTGTCCCACTCTTTCCATTTTCAAGCTCAGGGACGCAGACTGTGTGCCGACTACCTCACTCCAAACTCTAGAAACGGGCGTAAGATAACAGGAGATACTCTCATCTTTAACTTAGTCTCGGAGGTTCCATTATTCAATCCTTTTTCCCCCAGTTCGCTTTTGTGTATTTGAAGTACGGAGAAGCAAGAACTCCAAGGTCCTCTTCACCCCTCCATCTGGCTCCTGCTGCTCCTGGTTTCCACCCCTAAGCGATTCTCTGGACTTCAAGAGGTCCACAGCCTCTCCCCCAGACAATGCCCTGCTCTGCAGCCCGCTGGCAGGAGGCCATGTCCCTCTGTGCTGACTCAGCAACCGGCTCCCCGCTCAGGGAACATTCCTGGGGAAAAGGCTCTCCTTACCAAAGCTCCCGAAACCAGCTCTTGGCTGGGAAGAGAACCGAACTCTGCAGCTGGTTCTTGGGGAGCTCACGGTTTACGTGCCTTTTGGTTTGATTACAGTTCTTAAAGTCTGTGCCATATTGTTTGGCACAGGTGCAAAGAACTTCTTTTCTGTTACAATTCGCCCAAGAGGTGTTGCGGTTTGTTTTCTTTTTCTGTTTTTAGTTAAGCACTTACTAATAATTCTGCATCCATCCCAGTTCGGAACTGGGTCACATCAGCAACTTGGGCTGGTTTTACACAGGAAAGAACAGGGGTGGGGGAGGCAGAGCCCTGGCAAGGGGCGGAGCAGAACCACAGAATGTGCTGGGCACAGAGGCAGTCACCTTGCAACTTCTTTGCAGTCACAGCAGCTACTGACAAAAAGCCATCGCTTAAGAAGCAACAGTTCCCTGGACGCACATCATAAAGTGTGACAGTCCGGCCGACACTCGAGGCCGCTCGCGTGCCTTTTTCATTGCCATGATGACTAACATATAATCATTCAGGATTTTACGACACACAAAATCTCAAAATTTCATGACTTACAAATGAATCTGCACCTGCAGTTTTGGCGATGTCTGCAGATGCACATTTTGGGAAAGCAACATAAGCTCTGAAATCCAGTACGGGAACAGTTCCTACACTGTCCCCAGCAGTCAGACTTTCCCATGAGTATCAGAAGAATTCAAGAGACCACATAATTGAGGGTCACTGAAATGATGAACAGTGAAAACTGAGCCAATTTAAAACACCTACAACTCTGACGTCCTTTCAGGGAACTCATCTGGGGGCTCCTAGGAGCCAAAGCATAGCCAGCCACTGCAGCCAAAATGCCTCCTTGGGCCATTCGCTGACATGCACAGTTTCCAGGTGGGGTTACTGTACCTGTTTTCTGGTCCTCGTCTTCCCTGTCCTGAGTTTGATGTATCTGGCTATCAATTCATTCCTACCTGAAAGAAAGAAGAATTTACAATAAAGTGGGTTTTTTTTTTTTTAAAGAGGCTCTTGAAAGCTGGGAAGAAAAATCAAGAATTTCTGAATCACAGCTAGGAATTTATTAATGCTTTAAAAAACCCAGTAAACTGTTTACAAAAATAATTTACTATGGAAAATTAAGATGAAAGGAATTTAATTCTGAACTTAGACCTGGGATTGAGGATTGAGGGGAAAATGTGCCTTTTTGTTTGTTTGCATGCTTGCACTGAGGTGGTCACAGGTCATTGGTATAGGAAACAAATGCAAAGAAGGATTAGTCTGAGACTAAACAAACCCAATTTGGTTCTAGTCTTTTATTTTTTTGTATTCATTTTCCTCCCCTTCTCCAGTTAAAGTCACTGTAGCTAATAGTATGAAAGCAGATTACCCCTTAAAGTGACTAAACCATAGATCCTATGGCTCAAAACCCTCTAAGCTGTATAACAATTTAGGGAAAGCAGCAGTCCAAAAGTTTAGACAAACTTCCCATCCCTACCCTAGCAGGAGACTGAGAAGTCTCAAACAGACATCTGCTTTCAAAGAAATAAAATATAATAGGAAAATGCACCCCTGCAATCTAAGCAGGAAAGTGCATTACTAAGACACCACACTGAAATAAAAACCCACTCAGACAAGACATGTACCCTCTGAGTGCGTCACACTTAGAACTGTGACACCAGGACCTGGACATGGTTCTTCCATGCTCCTTGATAGAGTAAATGGAAACCACTGCCTCTGGCTGGCTTCACATCAGCTGCATCCTAAGAAGGCCTCCTTTTGGTCAAGAACAAATCCAAAGTCTACTAAGGCATTCGTTCATGTGCCTGGTCACCCTGAGACTGGCAAGCTAGACCTCACTTGCGTCTTCAAGGCGATGCTTCCAAGTCACTTCCTCAGGGAAGCCTTCTCAAGCCATCCAACCAAGTCTGGTTTCCTTGCTCTCCTCCTCCTAGGACGTGCCCCAACTGTAACTACTCCCAACTGGAGGGTGAGCTGAACAATCTGTGCTTACTGCCTCACTTCCCAACATCTTTATCTTGTTCTCAAACTCTCCCCAGCACATACATCCCCTGCTGGGCAAAGAGAAAGCATCAATAAAGAAAAAAACTAGCCCCAGGTTCCAAGAGAGTGACCACACGTCCCAGCCTGGGCAGATCTTATCACTGCCTAGAATGCTACTGCCGCCTGCCCCTGGTAGGGACCCGGTGGATGAAGTTACCTCCAGAAGGCAAAGGGATCCTGGGATCTGGGGGTTAACAAGTGCCCCTGGGTCATCCATTCCCACCCCTGAAAACTCCAACTCTGCAGAAGCCTAAGCCAGAGGTTCCAGAATTGAGGAAGCAGTACAATCTCTCTTAAAACATACTTAAGGATCAAAAGCTCCTATGTAGGCCGGCGCCGCGGCTCACTAGGCTAATCCTCCGCCTGCGGCGCCGGCACACCGGGTTCTAGTCCCGGTCGGGGTGCCGGATTCTGTCCCGGTTGCCCCTCTTCCAGTCCAGCTCTCTGCTGTGGCCAGGGAGTGCAGTGGAGGATGGCCCAAGTACTTGGGCCCTGCACCCCATGGGAGACCAGGATAAGTACCTGGCTCCTGCCATCGGATCAGCGCAGTGCGCCGGCCGCAGCACACTGGCTGCAGCGCGCCGGCCACGGCATCCATTGGAGGGTGAACCAACAGCAAAAGGAAGACCTTTCTCTCTGTCTCTCTCTCTCACTACTCACTATCCACTCTGCCTGTCAAAAAAAAAAAAAAAAAAAAACAAACTCCTATGTAGCGCTCTCTTACTTTCACCCCCAAATCCTTCTTGTTCCTCTTAACCCAACAAGCTACTTCCTACTGGGCATGGCTGCCTTGTAGATACTGATGCCAGCTTTTGAGTCCTCCTGTGCTGTAGACAGCAGAACTACCCCTATTCCTGCTTCCTGTGACAAGCTTCGGAGCACGCCCAGACCATACCGTGATCCTCCTTTGTCTAGTCTCCTGTTAGTGCTTAGAATCCAGAACTGCAGCAACAATTCTATGACAGCGGGATATCTCTGGCCCTGTTAACGCAGCCTAATGTTGCATTAGGCCTGATTAAGGACCACAATAAAAGTCAACTTACATGAACCTGAATTCATCGGTCTTGTTCCTTACGGGCTACTCCTCAGGTAAACTCCTACCCTCCATCCTAGCCTTTTCATGCAGAGCTGGGATCCTGAGACCCACACACAGCACCTGACATCTATTTCTATTTCATTTCATCCAGCTGAATGCAGCCTACATTCCAGCCTGCCCAGGCCTCCAAGGATCCCGAGTCTGTGACTGAACATGGTACCCTTGAGGGGCACAAGAAAAGGACCTTTAAATTCAGTTCTGAGGATTGCTTCTCTAAGCATTCTCTTTCAAACTTCTGAGAACTACCAATATCCCCTGTAGTGTCATTGGATCTACTTGTCCATCTCTCGGATGCTTGTGCAGATTTTGCAATTTGTCTCAAAGGCTCACTGACAGCAGAGCCCAGGCAGGAGTGCCTCGTTACCAGAAGCCAGATCTAAATGACATCGTCTACAGAGCAGCCAAGCATCCTCCAGCTCGGGACCTCCCTGTGCACCCTGCTCAGGGCTGTCTGAGAGGTCAGGATGAAGTCAATCCCAGGCTGTGCAGCATACGCAATTTCATCTGAACCTTGTGCACATGGCAAAACTCTCTCTTGCCTCCAGATTTACTATTTTCTGTGAAGTCGGACTGGATAACTTGATGGGCATGACACATCATCTATATAACTGATTTGCAGTTTCTTAGGGCATTTGGTTTAATGAACAACATCAATATCCAGAACAGCCACATTTGACTGTACAGCCTGTAGTCCAAGGACATGCCACCCCTGGAGTTAACAATGCCGGCTCCTGTTTTCCCTCAAGTACTTGTAAAAATTGCTGCTTCTACAACAGGTGCTGAGTGCCTTGTGCTCAGTGCTGCACTGCACTCGCCAATCCTTTGAAAGCTGTCCCCAATTCTACAGCAACAGGACTGCCTCTCAAAAGCCTGTGCTCTTTTCATTCCATGTTTCACATCATGAACAGTAACTATTGAATTCTTTTAAATATAGAATTATCTGTTTTAACTTAAAAGCCTTCCCCAAATAATTCTTAGAAAACTAGCATTTTCTAAAGTGCTCTAATATTGCTTATAAGCCTTGTAACATTTCTATAATCCTGAAAATCAACTCTAAACTGGTTTGCTGTTCACTTTAATTTGGAAATACAGGCCAACCTGTAATATAGGCCACATTATTTAAAATAACTATTTCAATATCAAATATCATAGATTTTTAAATAAAAATGTTAACACTGTGGCTTTGATTCTACTGAAATTTTTAATGCTTAAATCTAAATATTCCCAGAAATAAAATATAATTAATTATCAGGGAACACATATGCTATTCCAAATGATTCTGGAACATTTTTGTTCACTTGCATTGTATTACATATGGTGTCTTCAAGAAGTTTATGGAAAATGAATATTATGAAAAAACTCTGCATGCGTTACAAAATTATTTTATGCCAAAATCAACTTTATCTTTCAATTCTATCTGTCACATCCTTTTTGAAATATTCTCACATATATGTTGGAGATATCCATTAGGTTGTTTGTGGCTGCATTCTTGGTGTCGGCCCTGATAGATGTCTGATCCTCCAGACAGGATCCTATCCTGACAGATGCCCTCCAAATGCAGTACACAGCCCTGGATATTAATCACGAAACTGAGCTGCAGGATCCCCTAGTCAAGGACCAAAAGCTCAGCAAAACCAACCATCACTGATGTAACTGGGAGTATGTCTCCTGTTGGCACAGCATAGTCAGGATCAACACGCAGGGTATTAGAAATGCTAGCCATTTTTCCCCCTCTAATTCTTCTAACACACACACACACACACACACACACACATACACACACACACTGCCTGATCCAAGAAACCTTATATTACAAAAATAACAATCAACAAGGTTAACTTTATAATTAATTGCTACCCCCTTAAAACTTATCCCATGTCCACTGTGCCCCAGATCCTGCCTGTCCATTGCGTCAAAAATGCAGAAAGACAGCATGCCTGCCTACCAGGAGCTCACTCTCCAACTTCAGGGACAGCGAATCAGCTCGATACATCAACTGCTGCCACAAAAGAGGCTCCAGCTGCACCCAGAGCTAAGGGCACACAAATACTTCAAGAGACCCACAAAGCCTTCTCGAAACTACTGGTACTCCTGCCAGGCCCTCAATGACAAGATTATATCTTCTCCCATGTTCTATTATGAAACATTTCAGACAGAAAAGTCTCCTACAGAAAGGATTTTACAGTGAACAATGTATACCCCTCTACCAAGATTCTTCTACAGACTGGGCATCTCTCATCCCTTATCCAAAAATGCTTGGGGCAGAAGTGTCTTGGATCTCAGATTTTTTTTTATTTTGGAATATTTGCATATACTCACACATAATGAGACCCTGGGATGGGCCTACATCCAAACATGAAATTCATTTATGTTCCATATATGCCTTATGGATAAAATCTAAAATGATTTTTACATAATATTTTTAGTTCATCTGCATTTTTGACTACAACCAGTACCGTGAGGTTGTGTGTGGAATTTTCCACCTGTGGTGTCATGTGTACTTAAGACCATTTCAGATTTTTAGATGTTTGGATTAGGAATGCCCAGTCTGCATTCACTTTATCTACCATTGCTCTATCAACTTCTTTTCCACCTATCATCTTATTTTGTTGTTGTTGCTTTAAAAAAAAACAACTGGAGGCACGATAAAACTTCTCCCTAAATACTTCAGTGTACAGGCACTGATTTCAACAGTCAGAATGGAGGGAGTGGATGTGGAGATCACGTGGGTGGGCCCCTGGCAATAAGGAAGCCCCCTAAGTAAAAATCCCGGGCAATAAGGAAGTCACTAGTGATGGAAAAGTCCCCAGCCAGCAG